AATAATATTTATTATAAATTTTCCTTTCATTATTACCACTTTGATAGAAGTATAGAACAATTAAAACATTAATAATAATTCTTAATATTTTGCAATTAATAGAAACCATTAACCATTAGCCATTTTCTAACAAATTTCATAATTTTTGACGTTATTATTTTGTTATTCACCAACACCAGGTAGGTGTGTATGTATGTGTAGTATGTTTCGCAAAATTTGTTTGGGAAATACTATGCAATGGAGTTTTGTAATATTTTAACTTTTAACATATAGGTACAGGTGCATTGGCACTATTCAATCATAACTTGGAACGTTTTGAAACCAACTATTTTCATGTCTCCATTTAAAAAAGTTATTTTTAATTTCAAGAGCATAGTTCAATAAACTTCACAGCCACTGTGCTGGATAATTATAGTTTTTCATGCTTACACGTTATAATACAAGCTGTGATAATACATTTAATATAAACATATTTATTTATGCAATTTCGTCCATTAATGACGAGATTTACGAAAGAATGAGCAAACACAAATGAAAAAAAATAATTACTACAATTCCACTAAAATTAGCTTTATAACAAAAGCTTCTTAAAGCAAGCAAATACCTGGAAGAAATAACTTTATTTTATTGGCTAATTTAGCTATAATAGGAATAAAATCGATTCATTTTTTATTACGTAATGGCCGGCTTTGTGCTATAGAGGAGGTAAAACTATTAAACAAAAGGTAAATACATTTAAACAAAAGAGCGTTGAACAAATGATTTACAACAATAACTAAAACAATTTGCTACAGGGGTGCTTAGTAGGTTTGCAAAAAGTAAAAAAAAAGTATGTAACAGGGCCAACCCAATTTTTATTGCACGTGTTGAAAAAAATACCATTAGATTATGAAAAAACATTTAGCAAAACTTACGTTCCAAAAATTTAACACTAAAAATTTACAACTAACACTTAAACAGGTACTGCTTTTGTACAAACAACGTACAAAATTATGGTCACACTTTGCACTGCAACGTAATGGAAGCGCAACCTACCAAGGGATGGCAAGAACATGTGATCAAATGTAGTACATCGTTGCCATATAGATGACATGGCAAGTTTTAGCACGATAATTAAATTATGGGTACTATAAGATACTTTTAATTGTAAAATAATTTTTTTTTTCATTGCAAAATAGAAATAGAAAGTAACAATACAAAAACCTATAACATTTTCTTTGTTATAATGTCTTTTGTTTTTCATTTAATCGTAAGACAAAGAACAGAAGACCATTTTGGAAATATTACCGAATGTAAATTAATGTAATATAAATTACTTACAAGACGAGTTGGCCCCCTCGAAGCAGCGTCACATGCTCCCGTTGTAATTCTTCCGGGGCATGTCTTCTTATTTGAGTCGCACATTATTCCTATTTATTCGTAAAACTGGTTTTAATTTTAGAAAATATAATATATAAGAAATATTTAAGAGTCAAATAACGAACGGCATAATAAAGTTACCATTACAAGTTACTGTATTCAATATAAAAATGTCACTGTCATAGAAAAAAAACGCCAAATTTGATGAAAATGATAAAGTATAAACTCGACCAAGAATAACAACGTACTAGATAAATAATCATTAAAATATAAGTCCTTGTGTACGTCATATTTAAAATATATAAAACCATAACCTAACCTAAGCAAATTTTGAAAATAGTAATTTTAAAGTCTCTGGAAGCTAATAGTACTAAAATTAAATAAATTATTTAATGGTAACTGTCTATTTTACTGTGATGGTAACAAAACCGAAATAATTATTATATTTAAGAAACCATAGGGTTTTACAGCCTCATCAGCACAGTTCATTTGACAACATTGTTAACAAATGTGGTCACGTGACCATGCAGTTAAGTTTTGTTAAGCGTACTTCAAAACGAAATTGAATTACAAATTCGAAAATATCCTTAATATTTATGCTTACGTTAAGTTTCTTAGTGAATTACTTTAGTTTATTTGATAGAGAATGTCATTTGTTAAGAAAGGTACGTTGTAAGTTTTTATTAGAATAACTTTACTTAATTCCAAATATTTTGTTTATGATCTAAATTCTAAACACTCTTATCTCTTTATCATGATAATTTGATAATATTTCAAAAAAAAATAGTATAATTTACATTCTGCCGAAAACGAAGTCTATTTCTTTAGCTGCATAAAAGTGTTGTAGTTTTTTTATATTGTTAAAAATACCTTTTTAGGTTAAGTAAAAGTTAGCGTTTGAATTTGAAATATCGTCATGACCTTTCAATTTCAAATTATGGAATTGGTGTAGCAGTTTCACAAAAACTGTAGCTTGGCATCAATTTCTTCGTTTNTCCGTTGGATCCAATTCAACAACTTTATTAAACAGTCAATTTTCCAATTATTGAAACAATTTTCTTAATCATTATAAAAAAAATGTGTTTAAATAAATAACTTGAAAATTTACTGTACTTTGTAAAAATTTTAAGAAATATTACTTTGTTTTTATTGGGTGTTATACAGCCACAAAAAGTGACGTATAAAGTAACCTACAAAAAAAGTTGTTTATTTTATAATCCAAACCTTAATTTGTTATTAATTTTATCACTATATTGTCACAAAAATAACATATAATGTCTTCAAAGACAAACAACGTTCGTCAGCAATTAACAAACATTATTAATTCTGGTGGATCACATAAAGAACAAGCAGAGAAGTAAGAACATACAATTGTTAATGTTTATTTTGTTGTATTTATAATTTTACGTAGGTATCGTGGGATTTTAGAGGCAATTTTAGCAGATCCCAGTGATGAATTAGTCGAATGTTTGCAAGTTTTTATAGAAGCAAGTAAGAAGAATGTTTCTTTAAGTAACATATTAACTCTAACCCAATTTTTGTTTTAGTCGTAAATGAGAACGTTAGTTTAGTGATTTCTCGTCAAATTCTTACTGATGTTAGTTCGTATTTAGTAAAATTACCTCATGAAGTATCTAGAGTGGTGTCACACTTTATTTTGGACAAAGTACAACCGCGAGTAATTTCATTTGAAGAACAAGTAGCCAGCATTCGGCAACATCTTTCAGAAATATATGAAAAAAGTCAAAACTGGAAAGAGGCCGCCAACGTTTTGGTAGGCATTCCTTTGGAAACTGGTCAGAAGTAAGTCAAATATTCGGCGCTCATTGAAATATTCTAATCCTTATTTGATGTACAGACAGTACACTATTGATTATAAACTGGATACATACCTGAAAATAGCTCGTTTATACCTGGAAGATGATGATCCAGTCCAGGCCGAAGCCTTTATAAATAGAGCTTCATTATTACAAGCAGAATCAAAAAATGAACAACTGCAAATTTACTATAAAGTTTGCTATGCAAGAGTCTTAGATTATCGAAGAAAATTCATCGAAGCAGCACAGAGATACAATGAATTATCTTATAGAAATATTATACATGAAGGTAACTGAAAAATTGGCAGCTTTTAAGTGTAAATTGTTACCAAACTTATAATTTTTAGATGAGCGTATGACAGCTCTTCGCAACGCTTTGGTTTGCACAGTTTTAGCATCTGCTGGTCAGCAAAGATCTAGAATGTTGGCAACTTTATTCAAAGACGAGCGTTGTCAGCAGCTCCCCGCCTTTCCAATCCTTGAAAAAATGTATTTAGATCGAATTATTAGGCGCTCCCATTTACAAGAATTCGAGGCACTTCTTCAGCCACATCAAAAAGCCACCACAGTTGATGGCACTACAATTCTAGATCGTGCTGTTGTAGAACACAATCTGCTTTCAGCCAGTAAATTATATAACAACATTACATTCGAAGAACTTGGCGCTTTACTGGAAATTCATCCTTCTAAAGCCGAAAAAATCGCAAGTCAAATGATCACAGAAGGAAGAATGAATGGATATATTGATCAAATCGACTCAATAGTTCATTTTGAAAGTAAGTTTTATTTTTCTTAGGTTTTGCTATCACAAAAGTGATAGAAACCTGCATAGTGAGACTTTGGTATCTGTGTTTCATATATTTATTTATTTTAACTTTACAGCCCGCGAAACGTTGCCTCAGTGGGATAAACAAATTCAATCCTTATGTTATCAAGTTAATTCAATTATTGAACTGATTTCAAAAGCTCAACCCGAATGGATTATTAAAGTCATGGAGGAGCAAATGATGCAATAAATTTGTGGAATCAGTTGTTAAGTTATTTAATAACGAATCAATGAATTGCTGTATTTTATTTTGAATTAATAAATACATATGTAAATTATAACTTTCATGGTTTCAATTTTAACTCTAATACGACGCGGTGTGACTTTTTTATCAAATTAAAACTCGAGTTGCTTTTAAACTGTAAATTTTTATTACAATTAATACAATAAAATACCGGAGAAGCCCTTTTGCTGTTTATAATTTATGCACAACTAACAACGATTCTGTGGCTCTTTCAAAAAAAAAAAAGGAAATCAGAAATAAAAGGACAGGCGTGAATGCAGTCGCAACATGGTCAGGGAACAACATGGGACCTGTTGCACACCACAAAACAAACGCAAACTTTCACAGCACACTAAGTTTTAAATAAAATAAAAAATAAATGAATAATTACAATAATAAAAGAAAACAACCTTTTAACATAGGGACAAAAAACGGTACAGTGTATTTCATTTATTATTTATCGATTAAAAATTTCGGACAACGCAATCGCTAATCAGCTTTATGATGTAATTTTGTTTTTATAACGTAGGAATCACGCAAGCGTTATTACGTTGTGTGTGTGTTATGTTTATGAATGAGTGTATAGTACAGACTTCGATAATAATATTTATTACTAAGAGGGGACAACTGAAGGGCCCGTGCGCCGCTCCGCCGTTTAAGACGACAGCTCGAGAGCAAGACCCACTTGGTGACCTCCACTGTTGAAATTCTGACCATCAATCAAAGCAGACAACGTCAAAGTTACACCTAATCACAAATAAAAAGAAAAAAACGCATTACATTTAACGTAAACATAAATCGTAAGTTGTTTACTATTATAATACCAACAGCCAACGTTTCGCCATTTGCAAGATTTTATCAAGGATGTTGGTTTTATAAAAATGAACAACTTTTCACCTAATTTGGCTTTGATACTTCGCATTCGTAGAACTAGGGGAAGAAATGGGAACTATAATATTCCTAAATTTATTCGAAATTAATAACTTTGCTATAGGTATGGTACTGTTCATGTTGTAATTTTTACAAGTCAGACTTGAAGGATGTCCAGTTTAAAAATAAAGTTTAACGTTGCATTTAAATATTACTTAAAAATATACCATTCCATTCAAAATAAAAAAGTTTGCATATACTTTCGATAAAAGAGCAAAAAACGTAAAATTAACTCAACACCAATTCATCAATATAAGAACACTATTATCAGTGAATTATTTGATTGATAAAGTAATTGTAGTTAATTAAATATGCACTTACCGTCACGAAGGCGTTGTTGATAACCCAAACCGATCTGGCTCTGGTTGTTGACCTTGGCGCGAATCGACGCATCTTGGTCAAGTTCGTATTTTGCACCAACGCCAAATTTGGTGTCGTTACTTCCTGCCGACCATGCCAACATGATACCCGTTTCCAATTTGGGCGAAATCTTCTGGTATATCGAACCTCCGAACTCCTGGCCGTCGTCACTGTGATCACTTACATGTAAATACAAAATTCGTTTCATTTTTGAGATCTAAATTAATTATAGTATGACCCAATGGAATTCTAGACCAATAAAATAACTAAAGGAGTCTTCAATAATTACATACACTAGACTAATTATCACCTACACCACAATTTATCCAAACGATAGCTCCTAATATAATAATTATTCAAGGATAAAGTGACGTATAA